TGGAAGTTGTGTGACTGCAGCCCCCACATTTGCATGAGACTATAGTTAGACAAATTATTCACAGGAAATAATTAATTTCACTTAAAATTGGAACATTCATATCTCCCTGGCGCAATGATGGAAGGCTGATAAGACAGTAAAACAATAATTGTTGGATATTAAATGTAAATATTACTGAATTTAGTGAGAAAATGTACTGTAAAGGCACAAGGTGAAATCCTGGCCTCACTGAAGTCAATGGCAAAACTCCCATCGACCAGGCTTTTACTCATAGTGTAGAACACCGCTCACTGCTTGCAGATCAGACAACATCCTACCCAAAATAGCGCTATTTCTCCTCAAACTAGCCATGTTACCAAAGTGGGTTTGGTTTACCAAATACTGGCTTAGCACCATGATCAAAGCAGTTCCTGATCTGCTTTTAATCAAGATGCAAGAGCAACGTCTAATTTCACACTGATACAACTAAATTCAGATAAAAGTAAAGTTTACAAACTTAAGAGGAGAAATAAGGAGAGCTTATTAAAAATGTATCAAGCGTGGTCTGGTTACATCCCATGGTCACACCTTCAAATAACCATTTACAGCCAGTCAAACTGAATTAACAAGCTTTTTAAGTGCTGCTTCTTTTATCCCTGGAGAAGAATGGAAGCTAGTCAAAGCAGATTGTTTGGGCCAAATTCATCCATGGTACAATTCCATAGATGTTGTCAGTGGAAGACAATCATTGACTTCAGCAGTTACACTAGGGAGGAATCTGGCCAGCATTAAGTACGCTATAAGGAAAGCAAAAGACACAGGAGTATGAGGGAGTGTAAGAGAGCTTTTTATTCCTTCACAAGTACTTGATGTTAAATGGTAATGACATTGGTTCCCAAAGCATTAATTAGACATTGTTGCAGGGTCCGTCTTCTGCTAATTTAAATGATCTTTCCTATTTGGTATGCTGTAATCCACAGCTAAAGCCTTTGCCTGTTGAGTTAAAAAATAAAACCCTAAATGTGTGTTTTCAGCATTTGCAGAAAAACTCCCAAAGAAGATAGCAATGAAACTTTTTATTAATGAACTGAATAGTATAATGCGAAAACCATAATCTCACTGTCAGCACATTTCCTGATGGGTTTATTGCACCAGGTGGTGTGTGGGCCTAGTTTGGGGGCAGAGCAGAGTAGTGAGACAACCAGTCCTCATGAGTAAAGATAACTCTGTCAAATAGAATAAGCATTTTTAGTATGCTCAAAAAAGTAACTGAATCAATGTGTGTTGCAAATAGTTCTGAAAGCAGTTTAGCTTTCCCTCAACTTATTCACATGCACACACAAACATAAACAAGCAAACAAAGATATGTATCCTTTGTTATTATCTGTATTGTTCTAGTGCCCAGAGGCACTCCCCAGCAGAGGTCAGATCCACTTGTGCTAGGCATTGTACACACATGATGTATACAAACAAACCTAGAAATGAACATGAAAGAATAATGAACCCCTCTAAAGTTGGGAAGGAAGAGAGAGAGATTGTTATTCCTATTTTAAGTACGTGGAAGGTGTTCAGATATGATGGTGGTGGATGCCGTGCACTGTAAGTGGATAGTTATACAACTTTTCTGTATACAACATAAATTCATTCTTGCACAACATTTTGTAATATGGTTGACAAAAATAACATGCTTTTTTTTTACAAGATTATGAAGAAACCATAATAACTCCATAGTTAAGGGTGCAAAATCTTTGTTATGTATAGAAATAATGTTGAGGTTTTACAATTAAATCTGTTAATTTGAGTTACAGGCATTGGAAAATGAACCTTATCAAAATTCTTTTTAGTGGGTCTAACCTCTACAGAGTTATCAACTCCTGCTATATTACCATGACTCTCTATTACTGGAGGTTTTTAAGAACAGGTTAGACAAACACTTAGTCCTGCTTCAATGCAGGGGACTGGACTAGGTGACCTGTCGAGGTCCCTTCTAGTCATGCATATTTATGATTCTATGAGTCTCATGGTATCAGGCTTTTTAAAAAGTTTTTCATGAACTGTTGCAACAATCTTGTTAGTTTTTTGGCCTTTTTCAAAATCTCACATTACTTTCAATAATAACGAAACCAGGCTTCCTTGGCTAAGATGGTCATCATTTCTCTCAAGTCTTTGTGATGCTGTCCCTAGTAAGACAGGAATAAAGTCAGGATGCCCTCAACTAAGGGTTTGTCTACACTACAAAATTAGGTCAATTTTATAGAAGTTGATTTTTAGAAATCGATTTTATACAGTCAATTGTGTATGTCCACACTAAGCGCATTAAGTCGGCGGAGTGCGTTCTCACTACCGTGGCTAGCATCGACTTATGGAGCAGTGCACTGTGGGTAGCTATCCCACAGTTCCCGCAGTCTCCGCCGCCCATTGGAATTCTGGGTTAAGCTCCCAGTGCCTGATGGGGCAAAAACATTGTCATGGGTGGTTTTGGGTACATGTTGTCAGTCGCCCCTCCCTCTGTGAAAGCAACAGCAGACAATCGTTTCACGCCTTTTTTCCTGGGTTTCCTGTGCAGACACCATACCACGGCAAGCATGGAGCCCGCTCAGCTCACTGTCACCGCTGCTGTTGTGGGCAAGTCTACTGTGGGGGGCTGCTGTGATCCAAGTAGCCAATGCAATCATTGACGTTCTGTGGGTAGATACTCTGGGAAATGTGAGGGCCTTTTTAGATTTTAGGTGCATCGTATTCCTGTCCTTTGTCACTGGTGAAGAAGTCTTGCAGCTGTACATTCCAGTCCGGTCGGCGCTGTAACACCTCATAGCACTTCTGTGGTTGACACATGTAACAGCTCAAGGGCTCTTGCTCTTTTGCCTTGGCCGAGGTACCTTGCCCTACCTGGACCTCCAAGCATTCAACACAGAAGCTCCTGCAGCAGCTGGCATTGCTACACAGCAGCAGCTCCTTGCCTTCACAGCAGATGGTGCAGTAGAACTGCTAACCATCATCATCCACCACTTCCGCTACAACTCTGCTCTCCTGCTCCCCAGCGACGAGCTCGGAGGATCCGTACTGGTCCTCCTGGGTGCTGCTGGCAGCAGACGGTGCAGTAGGACTGGTAACCGTCCCCGTCAGACATGTAGCTTGGCCGGGGGTTCTGGGAACGTCTTCCCTGCCTGGCTCCTAGCAACCTCCAGGGCATGGTGTACAGCTCCATCGCTTCCCCTGCAACTCTGCTCTCCTGCTCCCCAGCGATAAGCTCAGGGGATCTGTTCACACAGCCTGGACAGTAGTAAGGAGCAGTTCAACTATAGGCTGAGCAAGTGCAGAATGGTGATAGAATGTGCCTTTGGACATTTAAAAATCACTGGTGCTGTTGGTCAGACCTCAGCGCAACCAACATTCCCATTGCTTCTTGCTGTGTGCTCCATAATATGTGACAGTAAGAGGGAGATGTTTATGGCGGGGTGGGAGGTTGAGGCAAATCACCTGGCATCCAATTTTGAGCAGCCAGACACCAGGGCGATTAGAAGAGCCCAGCAAGGTGTGCTGTGCATCAGAGAGGCTTTGAAAACCACTTTCATGACTGGCCAGGCTTCGGGATGACAGGTGTGCGTGTTTCTCCTTGATTCAAACCTGCCGCCTTTGTTGATTTTAATTCCCTGTAAGGCAACTACCTTCCCCCCTTCGAAATAAAGTAACTATTGTTTTGAAACCATGCATCCTTTTTTTATTAATAAAAAAAAATGGACAAGGTAGCCTGGGTGGGGTAGGGGAGAAGGGAAGGACAAGGCCACATTGCTTATTGTAGCCACACTAAAAATCAAACTGTTTGAATGACAGCCTTC